CTTTTAGCATTAATTTCAGTGAAATAAGGAAAGGAAATTATAAATAAAAAGATCCAAAAAACAAGCCCTGTCCTTTTTCTAGCTCCATGAATCCTTCCTAAGCTATTACCATATGTTTCTCTAGGCAAGTTTCAAAATCTAATTCATAATTAACACAAGAGCAATAATGTATTTCTCACAATGGTATTGTAGGAAGTGGGACCATCTTACCAAAGCTGGTATTTAGTAAAATTAAGCAAGCACAAAACTGTGCTCTGAACAAGAACTTTAGTTCTGTAAGGGAAAAAAATCTAACATGTAAAATCCAGTAGTTTATTTCCTGATCTGATCCCTTTGACTTGCTACTAAAAATGCATTAATTGTGCAGTTTCAAAGTAATTCAATGTTAACAAGACAAATCTAAGACTAGTCTATTGATGTAAGAGGTTTTGTCAATATTCAAGAGCAGGATACTGCCAATTATTAGATACAAGAGTTAATTAATGAAAAAAAATATCAACAGGTCATTGTGTTTTATTTCAGAGTGCTTTAGCAAAATGTTATAATTTGGTAAAACTATATCAAGTAGATTGACTTTACTGTTCACGTATTGCTTCTGGGATGGAAGCAGGTTAGACTTTTCTGCAATTTGCTGTAGGACTGATTTTGATGGAGATATGGTGTATAAGCCTCTTATTTAATTTCTCAGAGATGAAGCAGGATAGCAGGAGCACCCAGCCATTTACACTGATGTCTCATACCAGGTTCCAAGAGATATGCTTTAAGCAGGCAAAACAAGGCAAGCAGGTTGGCATCATTCAGATGTTTTGGACTACAACTTCTACAATCCTTTACTAGCTGGAACTAAAAAGACCTGAAGTCTAAAACATATAGATTAGCACAAAATTGCTTTCCCCATTATAACAGAAAGAGGTGTCTTGAAGTTTAAAGTGCTGTTTCTGCCAGATAAAATTAAGTGTGCATATTTCAACACAAACATTAATTTTAAATGTGACTTGGGACTCTGGCATGCAAGGCCTTAAGAGTTAGTGCCTATAAAAACATGGCAGTTTGTCATTGATGGAATTTTTCTAACATGTAGGAGCTATGATTACAAAAGGCCCCCTTTTCATATTGTTCACATAATGTTGATTTCCTCGTTGTGATTCTATTAGATGGATGGAACAAATGGGTAGACAGGCCACTGCTTCACTAAAATTGTAATGGAATGTGTTATCAATGAACCCTAGAAACACAGACAAGCCTTCATTATTGGTTTCATGTAGAGGAGAGTTTTTTTTAATCAGTTAAGAACATTTCAGACTTATAGAAGAAATATCTACTATAAGTTAAAAGTCTGGTGTATGAAACAATGCAGTATTTCAAGAGAATTTTAAAAATATTTTATGGTTTCACCCTTATGAAACCACCAGCAATTGTTATTTCCCTATTATCCAGAACGCAAAGGCATACAGTATTGCCTTTGAACTTAGAAGCTTTAACAGATTAACAAGAGTTGGAAGGGGTCTTGTAGGTCATCTAGTCCAACCCCCCACCCAAGCAGGAGACCTTACACCATTTCTGACAAATGGCAGTCCAATCTCTTCTTGAAAGCCTCCAGTGAGGAAGCTCCCACAACTTCCGAAGGCAAGCTGTTTTATTGGTTGGTTGGTCTCACTGTCAGAAAATTTCTCCTTATTTCCAGGTTGAATCTCTCCTGGTTCAGTTTCCATCCATTATTCCTTGTCCAAAGTATCAATCAATTCCTATCAGGCAGCCAATTTTGCATGCCTCAAATGTTAGACGAGTGATACCCATTCGAGAGGAGTTAAGCATCCACCGGAAGAGGCAGACTCTAGGAAAGGATATGCGAACATTTTGGGGGGGGGGAGGGGTGTGCGCTGTTAAACACGAGTTCTACCTGCCTGTGACGGGCTGCCCACGCTGATGCCCACACGAACATACACTCCGTCCCTCTCCCCGGCCTGCCTCCACGATCTACTCCAGCCTGCCGGTAGGTCACGCCGCCACAGCTCCTTTCCGTTTCTTGGCAACAGCACGGCAGGAGGCGGGGGGAGGCTGCACACTCGCGGAAGTCACAAAGAGCGGGAGGCCTGTGAGTCAGCCAATTGCGCATGCGCTCCTTGGAAACCACAATTCCGGATGGGGAGGGCGGGAGGAGTTTTCCGAAGAGAAGCAACCTACCCGGGATCCACCCCGCCTTCCTCTTGACGTCACCGGGGCAAACAGAGAGAGCTTGGGAAAGTTTTCCAACAACGCCTTTATTTACAAACAACTGGGCCAGCCCGCTCCCTCACCCCCCCCCACCCCGCAACAAACTCCGCTCTCGGCAATAGTTAAGCCACAGTCATTTCGGTTTGCTCTCCGCAGGCATACACAGCACAGTCATTCGGCTAGTTCGGCTACCAGTGGCTTGATTGGAGGCCAATTCCCTTCCATCCTTGCCCCGGGGCCAGGGGAGTTCCGTTCCTCTGAGTTGTGCACCACCATCACTGCTGATATCAACTGAAATCGGTGGGACCGCGCCTGGCTGATTTGCAATCGCTTGAACCCGCCGAAGGGTCTCAAGAGAAGGGGGCGGCTTCCTCCGACCCTGTGGAGTGGAAGAAGAATAGGAAAGGGCAGCTTGTTCAGTCCACAGAGATTTTTTTTCTTCCCCTTCGAACCTGAGGTTGGGAACGTGATTTGGGGGGGGGGGAATACAGCTCGTCCTCGACTTACCACCCCAATTGAGCCCAAAATTTATGTTGCTAAGTGAGACATTTCGTTAACTTGAGTTTTCCCCCCATGTTAAGACGTGTCTTGCCACATTTCTTAAGTGTTACCTCTGTGGTGGTTTCATTAGTAACACCATTGTTAAGTGAATCTGGCTTCCTCATTGACTTTGCTTGCCAGAAGGTTGCAAAATGGGATCACATGACCCAAGGACTAAATAGGAATCAGTTGTCAAGCAGCCAAATGTAAATCACATGACCAGGGGGATGCTGCAATGGTCATAAGTCACTTTTCTTCTTCATATAAGTATGAAGAATGGTTATAAGTCACTTTTTTCAGTGCCATTGTAACTTCAAATGAACTGTTGTAAATTGAGGACTACCTGTATTCCTATGAGTCCCTAATTTCTTCTCAGGCATATCTTAGAGACGTTCTTTCAGCAAAATACTGATTTCTCCTATTTCTAAAAATCAACCCTGCATGACCAAAGATGCAACTTGCTTGCAACGAAATCTTACAGGGAGAATATACTGGCAGAGTTTTAACCTGTCATAAGCTGTTATGAGTTTTGCTGCAGTGAAGTACCATGGCAAATCCTCTCAGTTCAGGGCCCACTGTGTTCTTTCCAGAAGTGTCATCTAACAAACATAAGCAATGTTTTATTTGACAGCATGTAGCTACAATTGTCTTTCTCCAAGAATGGGGGAGAAATCTCTTTTTCAATATACATATACCTTTATTTTCACACGTTTATACACTACCCAGTCCAAAGACTGGGTAGTTTATATCATAACCAGTTAGAATAATTCTATCCTTACTTCTCCTCGTTTGGATCTTATCAGATTTTCAGGCAAATGAAAGTGACAGGTTGCTGGGTGAGATAAATAATCCACCTGAAACTGGCTTTATAAATATATCTGCAGAATTGTGACTTGTACAAAATAAACAGATATAGGATTCTGGGAGGGGAAATTTCAAGGTTTTGCTTGCTTATAAATTATATTAACCCTACGTTGGACTTTAATGTTTGAATTTTATTCTGTAAAATGCCTGAAATGATACCAGGTTTTGGCCACCGTGTTCGTAAATTGTTCCAAGGAATGCAAAAGAAAAAGAAAAAAGTTGGGGGTGAACTCATGAGCTGCCTGCAACCTTAGGCTTCAGGTTGCCCATTTCCTGAAATAAACCATGATTTACAGACCACAGTGATTGACAGCATGTAGCTACAATGTCTTCTCCAAGAATGGGGGAGAATCCTGGATGTGCATTATTTATACTGTATATGACCCCTACATCGTAAGATGCAGGCAACAGTGTGTTCACTTGTAAGATAGTGCTTAGAATAGAGATCCTTCTTGCTTAAAGTAATGTGAACATGTTTGTGCTAAATAGACCAAAATTGCCCAATACTGTTTTTACGGTATTCTTATGGTATTATTAAAGTATATTGGCCATGTTATGCATGCAAATTCATTAGAGACGCTTAGGAATAGTTAGTGGACAAAGAAGGGGCAAGGAAACAACATGCTGGCTTCATAACATCAAATCTGATACAAAGTTGAACATACAACAATTGAAAGAAGCTGTGCTTGACAAGATAGCATGGAGAACACTTGCCTATAGAGTCACCAAGTGTCAGACACAAGTAAATAATTAAAAACAAACAAACTGTTCTTACGATGAGCAGGGAATGTTCAATGTGAAATGGGTATGATTAAGTCTGGAAACTTAATCTGCATGTTATCTTATTAAAAGCATTATATGATAGACTCTATTAATCAAGAGTCTATGATGGGCAGTAAAAATCAACATCTATGGGTCTACGTGGTGAAGACTGGCATAAGGAAGACTGATTTGGGATGTAAGACAAAATGATAAAGAGCATGAGTTAATGAAATGAAAAAAAATATACTGTGTTACTTGTAAAAGGGAAATAATGTAGTAATCTGAATGAAGATAATCTGAATTTGTGGAACAGAACTGCAGGAAAGTTTTGAAGTGATTAAGAGTGAAAGTACGAGCATTTAAAAAGGTATGAACCAGTGTCATGTTGATGGTTGAGAATGTGTAAAAATGTAGAAATCTTCACTGAATAATTGATAAGTTCTGTTCCCCATTCTTTTTCTTCTCTTATAACTGTTAACTTCTTTGACTTACTATCACATATTCTTTTTCTTCATTTTTGCATAATATTGTTTACCCTAAAAGAAAGCAGTGGTGTGTGTGTGTACCCACAGCGATATAGTATACACATGGTAGATTTCATTTAAAAAAAACAAATCAGATGCTAGTCAAACATAGATGCTAGTCTGTGCAGGATCGTATTACTTCAGTGATTGTATTCTTTTTAAATGCTACTACTGTGATAACAGGGGAGCCATACCTTGCTGATGCATGTTATAGAATTTCCCATCCCACTGGAAATCAGGCAGATCAAAGTCAGATGATACAGAGAAAGACAAAGGAGTTGTTTCTGGTACAAGAGTCTGGGACATAGAAAGCTGCAACTGGGTATTTGCTAAGTGAAAATGGCCTGTTGGTCTCTGTTCAAAACTGGCTTGGTTCTGGACATCATGATCTGAGAAGTTGTTTAAAATACTGGTGATGGTTTCTTCATCCACTGAAGTTTCTTCTGAAAAGTCAATGGCTCCATTAGTCCCCAAGTCCTGTCTTGCCACTAGAGGGGCAGCCTCAGCAGGATGCCCAGGCCAGTGAACGCCAAGAGATTCCTGAGACCTTTGCTTGGTGTATTGAGAGAAGACTTCAGCCAGGGAATAGATTTGATCAGCTAGCATACTGATGGCCCATCTGTCTGAATCAGGGCTCACATTCATTGCTGGAAACAATCCTAGAGATGGCCTTTCTGCAAATAAAGGAGAAGAATCTACAGAAAAGCTGCTGTCAGAGGAAAATGTGTATTCTGGCGAGCAGAGACTACCAGGGTTGCAAAAGGTCAGCCTATCCTTTCTTTCTGGGCATGAGAGACACCCGTGCCCTTCAGCAGAAAGAAAAGGAAATTGGGTTTCTTGAGACAACTCCACACTGACGGCTTCAGTCTTCATGCTAGGGACAGCCAGACTGATTGGAAATGGAGATTGAAGAGGAGCAGGAAGCATTTTTATATTAGAAGCCTCTGGTGGAAGTTGAGAAGAAGAATATTCAAGTGCCCCTTCCCTGACTGGACCTGGCTCTTGAAGGATAAAGTTGGCTTCATTTGGCTTCAACGGCTGCAGTGTGTTTCCAGAACAATAGCTTCGTTTGGAGGAAGCTGGAGAAACACCTCTGGGTGTGGAGTCTTGGCTCTGGATGTGGAGAGCTTCTTTGTCCCTGTGAGAATATAAACAGTTCCATGGGGTCAAGCATCACTGGAAATCACACAGAGGCTAAATGTAGGTCAATGAGGCTAAATGTAGCTTTTATTTATCATAAGTAAGAAAACTGAACTACAAGCTTCAGGGCATTTTCACAGCCCCAAATGTCATTATGAACTTTAATAATGCAGTATAGGAAGCAGAAGAAGCCATTTGTAAAACCAATGTAACACTGAGCTAATCCAGATTGCAAACATAAGCAACGTGTCAGGAGAAAAATAAGGAGCCTAAAAATTACATTCAAGCATCACTTGCAGAAAAGATTTTGATGTGATGTGACAGTTCCTTCAGCAATTATAATTGTGTAGGGACAATTAACTGGAAGATTTAGAAACTGTAGTTTAAAAACGCCTGAAGAAAATCAGGCTGAGAAAGCATAGTCTACATTAGAAAGCATTCTGATGGTTTGTATAAGACCTCTCTCTTACTCACTCACTTTCCCCCTCCTCCTCATTCTCTTCCCTGTATCTGTCTATGTCTCTCTCCATGGAGTCATCACAGATCAAACTAGATTGATAGGAGTTTTTCAGTTAATATAGGCAATGGAGCTCTTGATAAGAATGGCTTTTTTGATATTAGATTTAATGCAGAGTATGATTAGGAGAACTATGGTAGACAGAACTGCTTAATATGCTTATCTCTGTTTTAGGGAGCGCTTGTTCTGTTTTTACAAACTCTTGAGAAAAATCACTTATATCACTTTTATCCAAACTTTCCATATAAAAATCTTTCACACAGATAATGACATTTGTGGTAGCATGTACTTCTGTGTTAGATTAGATGTCTCTAAACAGACATTGCAGACATAAACGGATTGCAGACCAGAAATCATAGATGTCTTTGCTTCCTTCAACAGAGTTATTGCTTTTTTCGCCCATTACTTTTGACCACCCATCTCATTTCTGCCAGATGCCTTCCTCCAGCAGACCTGGAGAAAATGAAAAGGATCAGGAAAGCAGCAAATGCTCTAGTGGGGAATTTTTAGTAATATATTAGCTTGTCATTCAATTATTGTCATCCTATACTTTTTCTAGAATGAGCCACAACTAACAGATTCATACTTTATGCTCAACTCAAAACCATGATTTACAAATAGTGTGCAAGTCTCTACATCTTGCTAAGCCATAATGTGGTTCATTTATGGCTTAGTTGTATCAGCTACTGTGTTTTGTAAATCATGGTTTAAGACTTCACACAAATATATGAAACCAGTCAATTGTGGGTTATTCAGCAAACTACGGGGATATACAGAATGCCAATGACTGGGTGGTATTATGATGCAGGTGATTGATGCAACGATTTCACTCTAAACATCTAATAGCAGTCCACATGGCATATGTAACTCAACCACAAGTAGGTGAGTTTATGCAATATTCAACCCACAAATGAAACAAACCATATTATGGTTTAGAACAATGTGTGAACTCAGTCCTGGTCCAGAAGTACTCGTAAACTTCACTTGAGCTGTCAATGTTTTTACCTGAGGATGTGGTTTGTGCAAGTGATCAGCTTTCCTTTTCCATTCTCCCTCAGTGCAGTGACTTGCACCCAGACCCAACTCAGGTCCTTGCAGCGTAAACGTATGATTACATCGTGACTATGTTTCCCAGTGCTCTGCCCTGAAACTATAAACATGAAAAATGAATACCCAGCTAAGCTATCTAAATGTAGCAAGATGAATGGGAAGAAAGACGAATGGGAAGACTAATGGGAAGAAAGACGAAAGGGGCCTGGATTAAGTGAAATGTCTTCCATTTCTCTATATTCACAAGGATTATAAAAGGTGTTTATTAACTATGGATCCTAAATACGTATCTTTTAAGACTTCCAAAACGTACTTGGATTGGAATTTGGTATGACTGCAGTGATGACACATAGCATTTAGATACACCTTTTCTAAGTTCTCACATCAGTTCACATATTTTTTCTGTAATCATTACAACTCATTAGGGCAAGCCAATGATAGAAATGCCACATATAAATACTGAATCTGATTTATGCCTAAGATTATTTGGACAGCATGACTTGTAATTTGTATGAAAGATTGTCATTTTGTTATGTCCAGATTTCTGTTGAGATGGTTACTAACATAGCAAGTAGATCTTAAATGGTGTAGGGTCTCCTGCTGAGGGGGGGGTTGGACTAGATGACCTACAAGGTCCTTTCAAACTCTGTTAATCTGTTAATATCAATATCACCTCAAATGTGCAGAATTGAGAAATGTTGTGAAGGTCTTAACATTTACAACTAGGTAGACATAGCAGGGATGGAAGTGGGAACCAGATATTTACAAACTTAACAATTATGAACGAAGCAATTGGAGGGTAGTCTAGAGCTATGTTTTTCACACTTGGCAACTTTAAGATGTGGGGACTTCAGCTCTCAGTATTCCTCAGCCTTGCTACTGGGAGTTGAAGTCCTCACATCTTAAAGTTTCCGCGTTTCAGAAATACTAGCCTAGAGCAATTCTTCAAAATATTGAGATTGAATTAAACTACCCCAAATCCTGGCTGTATGGCTGATCATCCTGGCCATATATAATGGGAGTCCAATATACTTGAAGATAACTGGCTGAGAAAGATTGCTGGTTTTATTATGTACCATTTAACAGCTAGCTTTATTTTGTTTTTATAGGACCTGTTCTATTATCACCATTTTATTGGCCTCATGTACATGCTTTTAATTTGTAACCCACTCAGAAATGCTATTATTTATTTGTAACAGTTGTGCTTCCTTGGTGGTTTACAAAAATAATGAACAGAATAAAGGGACATTGTCCAATAGTTAACAAAGAACATGTTATTGAATAACGGTTCCCGCTGTCTTCAGATAATATAAATTATTAGGAATAATGGGATTTTTAATGGCCCATGTAAAAACTGCTGTAAGTTGCTCGTTGGAAATACTTATGATACAGCAGAAATGTGCAATCGTTCCTTCGCCAGATTCCAACGAAGGATATTGGTCTGTCCCAGGTGCAGTACTCACTCAGGTTTCTATGCATCTCTGCTCCTCTTCCAGTATCTTCAGGATGCAGGAGACAATACCAGGACTGACCAATTAATTCTTCTTTCTTATAACCAAGGTGATAAATAACACTGAATTGAGAAAAAAAAACACATATCACATAATTTAATAAATAAAATCCTTGTGAGATTTCTATTGTGAAATGGGAAATTATGATAAAACATCTTCTTATATTTATTGTTAGAAAATTTATGACAGGTAGTCCTCGAAGTTCGGCCAATATATTGAGTCCAGAATGTATGTTGCCAAGGGACAAATTTGTTAAGTGAGTTTTGCCCCATTTTACAATTTTTCTTGCTGTATTTGTTAAGTGAATCACTGTGGTTGTTAAATTAGTAACATGGTTAAGTGAATCTGGCTTCCTCATTGACTTGGCTTGTCAGAAGGGGATCCCGTGATTCTGGGACACTGCCACTGTCATAAATATCAACCAGTTGCCAAGCATCCGAATTTTGATCATGTGACCATGGGAATGCTGCACTTGTAAGTGTGAAAAACGGTCATAAGTCAATTTTTTCACTGCTGTTGTAACTTTGAATGGTCACTAAATAAACTGTTGTAAGTCGAGGACTACCTGTATTCAGAATAGAATTTCCAACTCTTTACACATAGTCCTTGATTTGTGACCAGTCACTTAGCAAGTGTTCAAAGTTGTGGCAGACCCCCAAAACCAGATTTACAACCTAGATCCGTGATGGTGAACCTATGGCACGCATGCTGGAAGTGGCACACCGAGCCATTTCCCCCGGCACCCGAGAGCTCGCCTGGAAGAGTCCCACTGCGCATGCACGCGCACCACCACCTGACAGCTGATTGTCGGGTATCTGGCACGCATGCGTAGGGGGGCAGGGGGGAAATGGAGACGTGCGCATGCGCAGAAATGCACAGCATGCGCTGGGGGTCGTGCGTGCATGTGCCAATGCATAGCGCAGGAGGGTGATCACACACACAGATGCATGGTGCATGGAGGGGTGATCGCATGTAGATGCGTGGCGGTGTGTGTGATCGTGCACGCATGCGCATATGCATGGCACACAGCAGGGGCATCGTGCACGCAGGCGCAGAGACATGCTGCGCACGGTGGGGGGATCTCACGCACATGCGCAGGGAGGCAGCACACATTGCCTTCTGGGTGCTGGCACGCAAGCACATGAGCGACCACGCAATTATCGGCACAGGAGCCGAAAAAGGTTTGCCACCTAGATTCAAATTTTGATATCTGCCCCCCTAAAATCACATGACCACACTTTCGGTGCTCAGCAACCAACCGTCATTTATAGCAATAGCACTTAAACTTATATACTGCTTCACTTATTTACAGCCCTCTCTAAGCAGTTGATTAAAGTCAGCATATTTGCCCCCAATAATCTGCATCCTCATTTTACCGACCTCAGAAGGATGGAAAGCTGATTCAACCTTGAGCCAGTGAGAATCAAATTGCTGTCAGTTGGCAGAATTAGCCTGCAATACTGCATTCTAACCACTGTGCTACCCTGGATCTTTATAGCTGTTTGCAGTGCCCCACATCATATATAACTGCTATTTACAACGTTTTTGCCATGTTTACTTCCAGTCTCCAGCAAAAAAATACCCCATATCAGCCAATGGGTTTGTTGAACAACCGCCATTAAAAAGGTCATAAAATTGGGTGTGATCACATGGTGACCTACTTTATAACCATCACAACTTATGAGTGAAATTGTGGGCTCAATTACAGACATAAATCAAGAACTACCTGTACTATATTTAGCCATCTATCTCCAGATAGATGCACACACACAAATTTTGGCCTTACTTTTCAGTCATTTCAGCAATCTTCATATCTAATGTATGCTGGCTCTGGAAGGTGGAGATCTGGGACCTGTTGTCTCCTTCTTCAACCCCATGAGGGACAGGAGCACAGAAAGCAACAAACGTCAGAGCAGGAGAGGTGGATGTCCACTGTGTGTCGAGTGGGACGAATCTGCCCCGCATGACTATTGGACGGTTCCTTCCATACTTAACCCGAAAGGCTCTTGAAGTACGCATTTCAATGATGAACTCAATTTCTGCATTATAAAATGAAGAAGAATAACTTGCAATTTAATGTCAGATTGAAATTTGCAATACAGAATAAAGTGTAATCATGTAAACTGTCGTGTGATTTGTTTTTGATTTAATGTGTTGTGTGAACTCAATCATAGACTATTCAATAAACAAGTTACAACTTAGCATAAGTTATCAGCTGAGCCTTTCTGCTCACATTCATGGCTGACAGCTTAAGAACAGGTTATGATATTTTTCCAATTAGTTCTCAATTTTACTATAATTCTATGCATCTCACTTTACCCAGTCTTTATAATTCTGGTTACTGAATAGCATACTTAAATGCAGTACACATTTTTCCAAGAAAAATGATACATTCAAACTGTTGGCCCAGATAAGAAAAAATGATTACAGAAAGGTGTGGCTCCAAATTTTTGTGATTTTAAATTATTTATTATTCAAATTTATATAGTCACCCATTTCATACAGTATATATGGCTCTGGGTGAGATTATGCTGCAAATTAGCATAACTTTTTTTTAAGGAACTTAAAAACTGAAACAGAGGATTAATAGTTTTTAACTACAGTGGTAACTTAATAGGAAAAATACTGCAAGTTATTTACAGGTCCCTGTTAATATTTTGATTTTTCTATTTCTGCTTGTATTATAATGCAGTACATTGAAAAACGTTTAAAATGCCGCCTTATTGCCCGAGCTGCAGTTGTATTCTCCCCTTTCTAACAGCATCAAATTCTGATATCCATAACTTTTTCTCTATAGGAACACAAAAATATAGAAATAAAATTTCTGAATGGGAGAATACCTACAATGGAGAAAATTTAGCAGATTTCTCCTCTTCATTTGAACAAGACAACAACCCTAATTAATATTTGTCTCTCCTATAGACACCATGATTAAATATAGATATGCATCGGAAATAATACCGGTAGTTTATTGTAGAGATGTTTACATGTAATCATCAGAGGTTTTTTCAACTTGTAGGAAAAATATCCACCATTTTGCACTCAGTAACAGGGCTGGGTCTGAGGAGAAGGTGGCCTATTTCTATATCAATAAATCCTCAAGATAACTGTCTTCTGCTGTAGGCTGGAAAGGAGAGGAAGCTGCATCTTTTAAATATGTCCTTAAAGGCTGAAGGATCTTCAAACAAAAAATAGTGGTACAGTTTGTTGGACCAGATTAATTTAATAATCCTCAGTTTGGATCCATAGACCAACTACAGGGTTCTCAAAACTCCTAATATGATAAATGAACTAACATCCCAAACTAGTGCTGGCTCAAGGATGTTTGGCACTCCTAGACCATATCATCTTCCCCACCAGTACAAAGACTTGCATTTTTAGAAGGATTTAGAATGAGAGATGGTTTTGGTTGTGGTGCCCTAGGCCAGTGTCTACTCAGCCTTAGCCTAAAGTGCCACCACAAGTAAAACTATTGATTTCCCTAGGATTAAAGTAGGAGAACTAATCATTATATTTCAATCCATTTGTCAGCAAGGTTTCTTACACTTTTGGTAGCACAACTGCCCACTGTTGGCCATCCACTATGACTTGTACTGGCAAACAAAGAGCAAAGGTCAGTTGTAACAGAACTTCAGCTTTGCCTAGACAGGCAAGGCAGGAGCCCTCTCAAAATGTATTCCCACTTATTGTAGGCAAGACTCCCTTTGCCTTACACAAGCAAAGAAGGAAGTAGGGTTCAGTGTGAGTTAGCGATTCATCCCTAAATTGCTTGCCACTACCTGGAAAAATGTAAGAATTCCAGCGCTGAGTCAGAATTATACATATTATTAGTGTAACATGCAAATCAAGACTCAGAATTGGTGCAGCAGTAGCAGCATGCCGATTGGCAATAGGCAGCAAATGTTATGCCAGCATTGTTTTTTTGCCAACTCTAGAATAGATGGAGAGTATTTGAACTCGGTAATTAGAAAAAATTGCTGTCAGAAAAAGATTCAGTTGCCCCCTAGCTGGAAAAACCTTTTTGCCAATCCCTTCTTGTCCTCACCCGTGCCTGGATGGTGATGGGCAAAGAGGAGTTTTTCTTGCATGATCCGGCTTGCTGTGCTGTTCAGGAGGTCAAAGATGGAGTTGCCTTGTGCTAAGAGTTCTACCTAGAAATATATATATATATATATGATAAAACATCTTATTTGCAATGACCTTTTGCTCTACGAATGTCTTAGGAATAAATGCTATTTCAGTATGAAAATATGGTCCTGGGAGTTAGGCATTTTTAAAAGGATATTTGGATCCTGCAGGGTTCTAACAAAAGCTTCAGGGTTTTAAGCAAATGAAGCTCTAACATTTAATAGTTGCTAAGAATAGCAAACGTAGTTTGCATGCCAAAAACTGAACCATTTGTGTTTAAAAGAATATTGAGCAGCTACGCTAGAAAGGTTCTTACCTTCAATCTTAAACTGCTATTACACGAAATGGGCTAGCAGCAGAATTGAAACGCCATTATATTCCTGCCAAATCTAATCTCTAATGTCCATGCTGAGTACAAGGCATTTTGGGGTGCCTCACCTTCTGTAATATTGATGCTTACCACAGAAAACCCAAGGAAATGTGGTACATTCTCAGAGACATAGGCCAATTTGCCCTTTGCAGTGAGAGCTAGAATGAACCCCGAAAGTGAATGCACCAGTTCTGGATCTACAATAGCAGCTGCAGCAAAAAGTGGTTCTTCAGATGCCATTTCATGTGAGCCTGGGAAAACAAGAGAATAGTACATGGGTTCTACACATCATTGGGTAAAACTCTACATAGAACAAAGCAATGATTTCCTGCTCTCGTGTATATACAAGGAAATGCATTCAGTTTCACAGCTACTATGATTGTTGGTGGAGCAGGGGAAAAAATAGCCAGAAAAATGATTGAAGCCTGGGAACTGGGTCCCTTGTCAGTCAATAGAAGTGCTGATTTATTACCAGTTTATCAGGTACTTAGAAGCTGAGGGTGTGGTGGAACAAGGAAACAACAATAAAAAAACTTAATAGTCAGCCATCAACATGCCAATTAACAACTACACGCTATACACAACCAGGAACCATATAAATACAAGCGTAGAACAGACCAGTTTACATATCCTTGAGAGAGAGAAGTTCCCTGATGATGGGTTCCAGCAGGAGCCTGAAAGCTTGGAAAAATAAACTTTTGGTCCCGGGGAGTGATTCAAATTGGATCCAGCAAAAAAATTTTGAATCAAGGTTTCTGAAATCCTCTAACATAAACAATGTGTACTAAATTCAGGATTCATTACTCTGTGTAATCGAAATTTCAAGGATTTTCACACCAGTTGCGTTCACAAATAAGTAGCCACTGCATTGTCACCACATTTATCGTATGATCATGATTTCTGATGCTCTTTGCCAGGTTCCCAAAAGCAAAATCAATGGGGAATACAGCAAAAAGTTGGAAGTCCTGCTCCTACTTTTTTTTTTTTTTTGGCCCAGCCAAAAATGGTCATTCTGTTTCTCTGTTTAGGAAGGAAATTTCCCTGAAAGGATGAATCAATAGGTCATCAGCTGTCTAGTCAGTTTTACTAATTGAACTATTACAGTGAATTTTTCTCCCACAGGATCAGTTGTAATGAAACTGATGCAAGTCTGGTTTGTTTTCTGCCAGATGACCTCTTCCCTCATATTATAGATAGGAAAGATATTGTTTCAGGAAATGCACTGTGCAAAACAGAGCCTGCTCATCTTTGAACATAATTATGACAGAATATGTAGGTCATTATATCTTTCACTTTCTCTTTTTATCTAAGGGTACTGCAAAAATATAGATATCAGAAAAATGTAAAATACAACTAAAGGCACATTGTTTTATGCTCTGATCCTCAAAAGAAAAAAAAAGAAAAATATAAGGGATACAGAAAAGGCTCTTCAGGTAAAAGACACCTTTGGGAAAGCAAGACATGATGGAAAATATGTAGGAGTTGATAATGCCAGCTGTTGCATACAGCATGGCTGCTTTTTATGGCCTATTCTATGCTTCCCTTAAGCACAAATAAGGATGCAAATTATACACAATGCAGATCCATGTTTGAAATTCATTGAAGATGTTTTTTTTAAATCAGCACCAAACATTAGTAACACATGGAATCAATCTTTTCTCTATTTTCATTTTCTGATCATACATACACATATATTTAAATTGCAAGTGCAAACTTATAGTAAGTAGGATGTACACGTGATATTTGAATGACTGACTTAAAACCATAAAAAAATAATAAGAACACCACAAGGAGTTCTCTGTGGAATAACAAATACTGCTCTCAAAAATATGTATGAAGAGTTTTAAACCCTCCAAAGGATTTATAGCGGGAACATTGTTACTAGCCAATTGTTGCAAGTCATTTGGTTTTGCAGCCAGAAATCAGCACTCAACTGTAGAAATAGATGGAGCTATGATGTAAAAGTGAAGGGAAAAAAACATGTTAAAAAATCTCTTCCTTTTAATTTCCTAGTCAATGAAGCGTTTGAAGTATGGAATGGGTGTGGAATTCTCAGGGAATTGCAGAAGATTCACTAGGCATTCTTGCAATCCAGAGCCTACTAGTTGTTTCTCCCTGGAGTCATATACATCTAGTCCTAAGGTTAAGGTCTGGAATGAAATATATTGTTTAAGACAGTTTACCTCACATGTTGTAAGGAAGAACCTATAGATAAGTGCAGTTTGGAGGCTCCTTCACCAAACAGATTTAGAGAATAGAAATGTCCATATGGAGACAGAGGAAATATAGAGTGAAAACAGGCAAGATATTGTACAGGCAAAGGAGGGTTTAGATCACAACACAATAGACATTATTATTTTGTCAAATGGAAAACCCCCACTGCAAATGCCACTGTTAAGGTTTGCATAATGTCAGGTTAACTGTATCCTTTTATAGCCATGGCAAAGCATAAGGGGGAGGGTTTTGATTCCCAGTGCAGTACAAATACAAATCCTCTCAGTTTACAATAGATGCAGCTGATATACAACTGCTTTACTTATCAGTTGTGATAAAATGACAAGGAATCACAAGGAATTATAAGATTAAAAATATTAGCTTAGATAGATATTGGTCCCTTTTGATCCCATATGAATGATTAGATCCCAGGACATCTAATGCAGGCTTGGTACTCTGGGATCTCTTTGGATCAGGTTACACTTCCAGAAAACTTAATAAAATAGGAGTCAAGTGACTGTGCTATAGATTAGTCACAGCTGTTAGTATACTATACTTGGGGCAACATGTGGCAGGCAGAAAAGATTAGCATTCTAAATTAACATGCAGACTTACAGGCATTTGGGGGCAGAACTACCAAAAACATGGGGTGAAGTTTGAAGAAAATACTTATCAAATTGTTGCTCCAAGAGAAGTACAAAAGATGGTAGAATCAAGAAACTAGCTGATTTTGCTTCGATTAAGTTTCAATTGGGATAAAGTGCATGCCTATACTTAGATATGCCCCCTCCCCAAAAAAACTTCACACACACACCCAAAATGGAAGGAAACCTGTCTAGGAAACAAATGAAAAGGAGTGGGTGTCTTAGGCACATTCCATATGCAAGAACTGTGCAATCTGAGATAATGAGCTGCGGTGGCACAATGGTTAGAATGCAGTGTAATTGCGGCTAACACTGCTGACTGCCAGTAGTTCAACCCTGACCGGGTCAAGTTTGACCCATCCTCCCATCCTTTGGAGATCAGTAAAATAAGGACTCCTATGGTTGGGGGCAATATTGCTGATTCTGTAAACCCCTTAGAGAGGGCTGTAAAACATTATGAAGTGGTATATAAGTCTGAGTGCTATTGCTAGTGCAGATTACATTGTGTGAAGCCAACAGAAAACCACCTAGAGTTTAGGGAACTTATAAGATACATACAAAACAGATCTGGATTGGCCAGCAGAAGATTTGACTACAAATGTCTCTGCACTTTTCTGGTTTTCTTGTCTGCAGGTGAACATTTTCAAATACAGATCTAAATTCTGTGGGAAATGAGATAGATTGAGACTCTTAAACAGAAATGGGAGGATTTTACATGGTAATAATAGTTTGAAAGAAGTGATGACTCACTACTTTCTATTTTGAGAAGCAGTGATGACTTCTTTACTTACCTGTAATTCCCAAAGTACATTCACATTCATCATAGTCAGTACTCCCTTCCATTCCCACAAACAAAATCAACACATGAACCAGTGGTGGAATTCAAACTTTTTTACTACTGGTTCTGTGGGTGTGGATTGGTGGGCGTGGCAGGGGAAGGATACTGTAAAATCTCCAGTCAGAGGTGGTATTTGCCAGTTCTCTGAACTATTCAAAATTTCCGCTACCAGTTCTCCAGAACTGGTCAGAACCTGCTGAATACCACCTCTGACATGAACCCTTCATAATCTTAGCTATGTTTCTAAATACAGACTGGCAAACTGCTTCTGTGATTCCTAGTCACGTCTCAATATATGTCTCTACATATGTGAAAAACTGTACAATATGATATGGTGTGTATTCCTTTGAACATTAGTTTCTTCCTGCAGTTAATCAAATTTTTATAGGAAAGTCAAATGATGTTTAGAGAAATATGTCTGATTATGGCTAGTGAGCTGGCATTTACTAAACAAGTTACAGAAAGAGTTGGGATTTTTCTTTTACCAGAATTAAAAAGTTGAGTCTCTCGTATATGGAAGCAGACCAGAGCCATGGTGTGGAGATATGAAAGTTGTTCCTTCTCTTGTTCTGAGATGGGCAAAAGAGACCGAAGAGTCTGCAGCTCCACATTGATCTGATCCCGACGAGCCTTAGAGGCACCTTTTGTTGATCTGCAAGAGTGCAAAATATGAGCCATACACATTTGTTCCTCTCCTATTTCCAAACCTTTAAAATATGTTTCCTGAGTCTCATAGTAGATTAGAGAAACATTTCTTAATTTCAGAAGCTTTAAGATGTGTGGACTTCAATTCCCAGAATTCCAAATGCTGACTGAGGAATTCTGGGAGTTGAAGTTCACATAACTTGCACAATTACTGAGATTCAGAAATATTAGATCTGATTTAGCATGGTCAACCTCTGCAGTTTTCACATTATGAACGTGCACATACCTCTAAGCACATTTATTTGAACATTATTCCATTCTTCCCTATGGATTTCCCTTTTGGGATGACATGATGATCTTATGACTGGTACTTTGTCTGGTAACATAGGTCTCACATAACTACATTATTATGTAGGGATGAAGGGGGGAAATTCCAAAAGCATGTTTTCCATCTCAAAACTATTTTGTCATCTTTCAGTGACACTTTGTTTCTTTTTTGGGGGGGTGGTAGGATGAGTCATTACAGAGAGACAGGAAAGATAATGGGAAAAGTGGAGAAACTGTGTACATAGATTGCAGGAACTGGGTATGTCTAGTTTGATTAAAAGAAGGACTAGGGGTGACATGATAGCAGTGTTCCAATATCTCAGGGACTGCCACAAAGAAGAAGAGGGAGTCAAGCTATTCTCCAAAGCACCTGAGGACAGGACAAAAAGCAATGGGTGGAAACTAACTAAGGAGAGAAGCAACTTAGAACTAAGGAGAAATTTCCTGACAGAACAATTAATCAGTGGAACAACTTGCCTCCAGAAGTTGTGGATGTTCCAACACTGGAAGTTTTTAAGAAGAGATTGGACAACCATTTGTCTGAAGTGGTGTAGGGTTTCCTGCCTAAGCAGGGGATTGGAGTAGAAGACCTCCAAGGTCCCTTCCAACTCTGTTATTCTATGCTAAGATGAATACATTCAAATCTTCATGACTTGGGAAAAGCTTTCAAGAGAAATATCTATCTTTATTTGGATCTAGTAAGGCTTTTATTTGCTCTCCCTTGCCCATTTGCAACCTTCCCACGTGTTCAGTTTCCTAGCTTTTCAATATGAATGAACAAACCCATTGCTTCAGGAAACAACAGGCATATAACTACTCCTTGGCTTCTATCATCAGCTGCTTGAGTTGCCTTCATCATTATACCTAATATTAAAGGTAGCCCTGAAGTAATACTTAAAATCATCTTACCTTAGTTAATTTAAACTGTAAATCAGAGTCAAACTGTAAATCAGAGCAGAATCAGCATGCTAAGAATTTTCTCACATATCTGCCAAATAAACAGCCTAGCTGAGGAGGGGATTTGGGGAATACGAAATTTAGAATAGGGACCTGGGATAAAAATGTTGGAAGGTGCCCAGCGGCTCTCTCTGTATAAGCAAGGCTCATTAGCTTCAGTCTGGATGGCCAATGAAACGATGACAACCATCATCCTAAAACCTTTGGGACAAAGCTGTTTTAGAGATAGGCCATGCCCTTACCATGTGTTTCTGTCACCAGGTATTATGAAAGCTTTGCCCATTAACAGACCTACTGGGTGGGAAACAGGTTTTAATGATTGTATCCACTGTAATTGCCATGTACAAGAAAGAACTTTTCAATAGCATCCTCAAGGGACTCACTAACATTTGAAATGTTTCGTAGTCTGAGAACCCCAAATACTACTTAGCTGTGATCAGTTTGCTCCATGGCCTTAAGCAAGTCATCCAGCTTTCACAAATGAAACCATAATGTTAATTATAACTCCTATCCTGTAAGTGTTGAAAAGGCTTTCCTTAAAATAAACATTCTGGTCACTTCAAAGTATGAAAGTCTTCCTTATCACTGTCCTAACAGCAGAATCTAAAGCATCTTTTACTCAGAAATAATGCATTACATTAAATAGGACCTACTCTAAAGTAAACATATATCAAATTTCAGGTTCAGCAAAGAGCTTTCAAAGCTTTTTCAGTACATAATTTCTGTACTGTCATAAACATATATTCTTTGAGATTGACTTTTGCATGTGAAATGCCCTGTGCCTTAATTAAACATTTCTAGCAAGCTCATAGTATGTCAGTGGAATTTAGCACTCATTGGTAATTCAATGGAGTGGGGAATGGTGTGATGGGGGAGAGTTTGAAGACTCTCACTAGTTGCCGCGAAGTCTTTGAACGAACCACAGAGAGGGAAACTCTGAGTAGACAAAAAGCAGCATGGGAATTGCTTCCACAGTGTGTAGTTGTGATCACTATGGATGTAAAAAGGGATTCAATAAATTCATGACAAAGGCTGTCAGAGGGTTTCAGTAGTAAGATTTATTAGGGCTGTTGATAAGAGGCTCCAGAGCACAAATGCAGCACCTTCAAATAATGCACATTTTTCTGGAATAAGGTTTCAGGTTGGTTAGGAGACAGAGTGTGCCAGCTCACTTAATATAAAACTAGCTGGATTTATTAACATAATAAGCTAAGGCCAAATAAAGCACCTTACTTAGTATGACTCAAATCTCCTTTTCCCCAAACAGTTGCTGCCGTGGACGTGATGGCAAAGTTCTCCCATTATGATTCTTATTGACTGGTCTTGTGTGATATGCTCATCCTGCAGTCAACACAATTTACTCAATTTGCCCAATTTTCAGGGTTTTGTGCATTGAAGTCATTGCCTGATTTATGGTTCAACACATCATGTGGACACAGCCAATAAGCCATTTGGTCATTCTGGGTTCCAACCTAGTGTAGGGAAGAGCAGATGAAGATGAGTTCAACAGAAGAAAGAGAATAAGAGGTTTCAATTGCTTTCCTCCCATCCTTGAATTGAATTGCTTTCCTCCCATCCCGCAGAAAACTATACCAGCATGGATTTTTCTGTCCCATTGTTGATCCCTATCCCGCCTAGTTAGCTTACAATCACTGACCATTCCATCTACTGGAGGGATCTATTCTACTCTGTTATCTAGCTTGGTTTCTTGTTGTAGGCATCTGACTTCAATTCCAGGTAATGACTGGCAAATGCTAACAGACCTACATCTTGAGACTGTCATCAAGGAATGGAAGAATAAAGGAGAAAATGCTACTTTAACAGCAGCATAACAAAGAATGACACAGGGCTGTCTCACTCAGGCTGGGCCTCATGCGAGGGCAGCATTTATTATTATTGGATTTATACCTGCTGCAAACAGAAATGTCCTCAGAGGTTCACAATATATCCATCAATATGCAGCAAAACAAAGTAAAATAAAAACAAAAAGGCAAGCAAATCAACCTTACTCACGTAGATCTATATACTGATGACATTCATGTCTCAAAGGCTCTTCAAAGTAGCTCTATTTTTAATAGCTTGCAGTAAACCAGCACCTTGGGAGCTGATTTAATTTTGTGGGGAGGGGTGGCTAAAGTGCAGCTTGAAGAGAACACAGCAAAAAACAAACAAACAAATCCCAAAATGTTGCCAAGGCATTCTTGTCATACAGTGACCTACAATAAAAATATATTTGGCTTAGTGTGATGCATGAAGCCAGGTAATTTGCCTGGTATTATTGAGGTTTTAGCAAATTAGGGATCAAGGCAGTGAGCACTACAGGATTGTCTTGGCAATGAGATCCAGTCATTTGTTCCACTTCATCTGAAAGCTGGAAAACTGGACAAGTTGGAAACAGCAGCATGGCAGTTGATGTGAAAGGAGTCTGACAAAAGAGGAACTAGGCACAAAGGGGGACAAAAGGATTCTCAAGCTTTTTGTGAATGAGCTGAACAATTTGCAGCTTTCACACAGGCCTCAGGAAAAGGGCACCATCTGCTACCTACCTTTTATGTACATGAAGACTAAAAGCACAGAAGGCCTGTCTGCCTCTCATTGTCTAGTCATCCACAATTCAGTTGAGGAAACATTCCTCCAGGTTGTAAGCTAGCACTGGATTTCAGAAAGCCAAATATTCATTACTTTCTCTACAAATTCTCTTTGTAAGGGAACACTTAAAAAAAAACCTTAGAAAATGATGATCAATAAAGAAACCACAGCAGCAAAGAATTTGGGAAACAAGAAAAGGAGCAGATTGATTTGAGAGGATTTGGTGTTATCCAAAACGGGCCACTCAGTGGGAAAATTCAGTATGCAACATACCATTGTATTGTCGCTTTTGTCTGTTCCCATGACAACCATCACACAGCCATTAATTTGTGTGAGGAACTGGAGGTAAATAACTTAAAGTATCAAAAGAACTAGTAAGGTTTAATAAGCTCAGCTTTACAGCCAGGTTTTAGCCAGGTCTTTTTTTGTGTGTTGTTGTTAAATGTGGGGAGCCCAAGTCCAGCTTTATTTAATCCTCATTGTGCCACCACTAAATTAATCCAAGTCTTTGCTGGGTCCTGGATCACACTGCAAATTATTATAATCATAAGTCTAAAGGCAAGTGCCTCTACTCTGTCACAGATATCTAGAGCTTCACATATTTGAGATGTTTTAAAAGTAATTGTTGATGATGTTAATACAGAAACCAAAACTCAATTCCGATTAGCCAGTCAACTTTCTACCCTGAGGATATTCCCTTTAGTAGTCACTAGAGGTCTGACCAGTCCCATGTTTTTGCTTCTGCACTGTCTATTTTAGCCCATAACCTTTCTCCATGGCAACCCACAGCTTATAAAGCAACTGCATTCTGCCAGTTTCATGGGGTGGGAAATTCTGGGAGTTGAAGTCTACACATCTCAAAGTCACCAGATTGAGTAACACTGCCCTAAAAAGTTGAAGCCATTATAACTGAGTCTCTCTGCTTTTCATCTGGCATTCAGTACTTGGCATGCCTTTGTCTCTCAGAGAGGAAGCAATTGATTTGCAGGGGCTCTGGAACAGCTGTGCTAATCCTATAAAGCTGTTATGAGCAGTGTTTATTTAGTGGGCATAAAAATCTGGCCACTGAAAAAATCCTAGCAACAACAGTGTCTGGTTTAAGAAAAAAGAGAATCTTCTATCATGATCCCATAAAGGTTTACTTTGAAGAAGGTACTACTTCATTTAGAGACTTAATGTCAAGGCTGCACCTTAGCCTCTTAGCTGATTGGTTAAGCTGTTATATTTCCATACATCTTCCTGTAACAAAATATTAGATCAAATAGGCAAAAAATACATCAACTTTATGCGATACATACAGGGTTGATGAAGTCTACTTTACCTTCCTCTTAGCACCAGAATTCTGTTTTCCTCACAATGATCAGAATTAATGCTTTGTGAAAGTGTTTCCTATCTGGAATGTATATCTATTTTCTGTAGTCCAGATTAGATTATTACAATGTTCTCAGTTAGAAAGCACCCTTTAAAAAGATCCCCAAAATTACAGTAGGTATAGAATGGTACCCTTCAAGATGCAGTAATTCTGGTCTTATTTCTCCTTCAGTTGCACTGACTGCTAATGCTCATTTTATAGAAGGTTGTTCTTTAAAGCCCTAAATAATTTTAGTGGTTTGAAGTGGTTGTTGACCCTCTAGGAATCAGACTAGGCTTAATGAAAAAGTATTGAAGCAAGACCATGCAATCTGCATGTTAATTTCCAGAGAGTAATCCTTTGCTTGTGTTAATTCTGCAATATCCAAAGTTCTTGGTTCTCCAAAAGCAATGATGCCATGCCTTTGATTCCCATTTGCAAGGAAGCAAAGCAAGAGAAAATTACTACCCTCATATTCTGATATCCTGAATAAGAAGCATTCTGAATATATTTTATTTTAATAATAAAATGGGTGTGGGTGGTTGACCCACAGTTGCCCACCAGTTTTTGGTTCAGATAATTGCATTTAACAAACTGATATAAATAAAAATTTAAACATATAATTTATGACTGATCATTAGAAGTGTCTATCTATGTGGTCACTAAGAGGTGTCACTAACTTGATATCATATAATCAGTTTTTATGGTATTTAAATGTCCCCTGCTAATATTATTTTGGGCAATTCACCAAAAATAATGATAAAAATAAATTTAAAGGGAATGATAACTTACATGTCAAAGATATGGCAAATATGGCAAAATAAATAAATAATACAGCACTCTAAAATTTATAGCACTCTAAAATTTACAGCACTCTAAAATTAAGCAAACACTTTTAAAAAAATAAAGATGCTGCACTTAATGGAACTATTAAGAATAAAAGATCTAGGTAAATGAAAATATATTCATTTATATTTGAAAATACAAACACTCTAAAAACTGTGTTAAAAAGTGAAATGAGAGGTAGGGTATTGAAACAACTGCTTAAAATATGGTATGTACATCTACTCCAACTTTGTGCTGTCTAAATGTGATAGACCTCAATTGGCTGATGATCTTGGCAAAAGGATGGTGTTGGGGAATATTTTATGAAGGCTGTTGCCATGATTGAAAAAGTTACCCTCTTCTAATTAAGAGAAGTAATAGAAACGTTGAAGATAGAGCCTCTGAAGATGGTTTTAAGAGATAGATGAAAAAGATAGTTCTCTGAGTAAATTGGTCCTGGAAACAATGGATGTTCTATCCACTTACTAGCAACACAGGAACTCTGTTTTGGACCAATTAATAGTATAGAACCATTGCAAACCATGGCCCTTGGAAATGGTACATTACAATGGCACCAAGATTTAGTATGTTCATACTATTCCATTGTGTCCAAAACGTAATAATTGAACACTGTTAGGGACCCTGTAACAAACATCTTCCCCCTCTTCTAAACCTCAGTGGGAAGAAAAGATTGCAAGATCATCTCACTGACCTGAAAGGCCTTGGAGTACAGAGCTTCTGCTTAGGACCAGATATAGGAGCAGAGACCTGGCATTCTCGTCTTCTGACTGGCTTGTTGCAGTTTTCACACAATATGGTCATAGTTCTGCAAAAGGATAGAAATTGTTGAAGCAAATGAGAATAACCAGACTGCCCAAGAGGAAGCCACAATCCTCAAGGCTGGAATAGCATTTCAAATCATGTATTTACTCAAATACTGAGCCTCCCCTAATTTGTAGTCCTCCTCTCACCCATCCATTGGCATGACCACTAATCAGTGAGGATTGCAACTGTAGTCCAACACATCTGGGTAGTGCCAGGTTAACAAAGATTATCCATCAATCTGTTCTGGAAAGATGATAAAAAGTTGCCTCCCGAAAGAGTGCAGAAAAGAATAACAGAGTTGAACAGGGAACTGGAGGCTAAAACATATGAAAAATGATTGCAGGAATTGGGTATGTCTAGTTTAATGAAAAGAAGACTAGGGATGACATGATAGCAGTGTTCTAATAACTAAGGGGCTGCCAAAAGAACTATTCTCCAAAGCACCTGAAGATAGGATAAGAAGCAATGGATGGAAACCAATCAAAGAGAGAACTGACCTAGAACTAAGGATAATTTTCCTAACAGTTAGAACAATTAATTGATGGAATGACTTGACTCCAAAATTGTTGGTGTTCCAACACTGGACGTTTTTAAGAAGACAAATGGACAATCACTTTTCTGAAATGATAATAGGATTTCCTGTTTAAGCAGGAAGTTTGACTAGAAAGCCTCCAAGGTCCCTTCCAACTCTTTTATTCTGTTATTCTTGGAAAATCAACAACACTAGACAAGCAAAACTGATGGTAACTATTCACCCCCAATCCCTGCTTTGCTCAACACATATAGAAGAGTAAAAGGACTTCCAGTGTCATAAAGACCCTGATTTTGTAGGATTTTGATTCACACAGAGAAGCCCTACTGATTGCAGATTGTCTAGTTATATCTGGGATGACACTCTACACTCAAAGCAACAGAGGGGAGAGGTCATGGTTAGTGTGCTTCTCCTAGCTCCCCCTTAACACAGAGAATCTTTCTGCTAGCGTGATGAACATTGAAAGGGATACGAAGCAGAATTTAAATCAGTTTGAGTGGGAACAGTTTTGTAGTCAAGAAGAATATAGACTGTAAATCACCCATTGTGATGGACAGATGTTCTCCAAATTATTAGTTAAATATAATCATCTGATTCAGAGCCATGTCAGGAGAAAGATTTAGCACATTTACAACTGATTCAAATGGAATATACTGTTTCATCTTCATTTAATTTCCTCTATGGCAAGACTAAATTATCGGTTATAAATCCTGCTACATTTAAGTTCATAGAGATTGTGTGAGCCTTCTCCACCCTGTTGACTTGTAGGTGTACTGAGATTACTACTAGGAAATTTGTAGCTTGGGATACTGGAGGTGAATCCAGACATTACAATCCCAACACAGTACGTTAATAAAGCCTCTTATAAAATTACTCCACTTAGATTCTTTATTTCTGTTCTTTTGTTGGCAGTTTTGATAGGATATGAGGTTTCGTGTTTAAATGGTTTTGTTGTTTTGGTGATTGTAATGCTGTTATTCTTTCGTAATTGTACTGTACAATTATTTGTATTTACTGGTAACAGTTGATATTTTCAAGTTTTAATTGTCTTTGAATTGGCTTGCTGTTATGTACCTTGTTGAAAAGTGCATCACTACAAATAAATATTATGGCTATTATTAAAACTACTGAAGTGCGATGTTCATTGTTATCAATAAAACCCTCTCCCTCAAGGGATAAATACCAGCAGCAAGTGAGCAGTATTTGTAATGAACACATTGTTCTGTTTGTGTGTATGTGTGTCTGTCTATCTGTCTGGTTAATACTTCTCCTTGCCTGTCCTTAGCTAATTGAAAACTCAATCTCTGGGTTTATACATAAAATAACTCTATTCCTGCCTTACAGAGAGATATAATTGGTTTGGGACATGCTGATGTTAGGGGGAGGATGAAGAGAAAAGCCATTAAGATAAAGGAATGGACAGTTATGAAAAAAAGATTGATACCCAAAAAGGAGCATGCTAAACGGTAACTTTTGTACACCCTCTACAATCAGCTATACAAACATTAAACACAACTTCCCAAGGGGAATTTTGGCATTTGGCCTTACTTTTTCAGGATTTAATATAAACAGTTTCTGTATAATTCTTCTCTATTGATCGATAGTTTTTTCAGCATGGTTACTGTTTGTTCTTTTAATTAAATTCAAGTTATTATTATATTGTGTTGATACCAACACTACACTTTCAGCAGCAGTTAGTGAGCATCAATCTCTTAAGAGAATAAGAAATTGTCATATTTATAAGATACTCTCTGCTTAGATGTTTTAGGTTATGGGAGTGGGAGGAAGCTTCAGTCAGATTCAAACTTCAGAATTGCCGGTATATCAAAATTCAAAAGGAGGGGCTACTTTGGGAGTTTGGGAAAGGACACTGAACTCCTGAGAAGTGTGGAAAAGAGTTTTTCTCACAAGGAATATATGTAGAAATCCTAGGTAAAGGGAGCACGTACTTCTGAGACAATCCACCATTCAAGAACAGCATTAATCTATGCTGGGGCTCAGCAGTACAGTTGCTTTTAATTCAAAAGCCATCTCTACAATATTTGAAAAGGCAACAAAGCACGTCTTTACATTTAAGTGATCATGGGGAACCTATATGTGATTAGGGAAAAGAACAAAAGATTTTACTTCCTGACATAATTAAGCCACAAAATTTTCCATTTCAAAAATTAACTGTGGCCCAAAATATTTCCCACAGCAGTAGCAGCCGCAGCAGCAATCTACCCCACCTAAGTGATAGTTTGGCTGATTCAGCCGAATCCCCTTCCTGATGCATAAATAGGAAGGCAATGTCTATTCCTTCTATGGGTTAGAATTTCTAGACTTGACGGTCATTGGATTCAAATTATGACCTCCCTTCCAAGGTGCTGAATGATAGGTAATGAATCCTACCATTTCAATGTTTCTGCTGGCCACTGGGTGGACCAACTGAGACAGAATTGCTTGGAGCTACAGACTCCATCTCTGAGTAGGGCAGAAGCTAGAATGATTGCCATCCCCTGGCTAAATCCTATTATTAAGAGAGCCAAGAAAACCAACACCTAAAGAGGTTGAATTTCTTACAGTTCTTGGCTAATAATAATGATGTAAATTACCCACCCATAATAGATAAACGCTTATTTTGCGGGTTGAGGCGTTACCATCGCCACCACCACCACCCTGTTTTCAGTCCAAGGACCTCTTACCTCTTTGCTGTCTGGCTGGGTCTGAACTTGCTGACCCGACATCCTCTGTCTTTCCTTCTTTTATAATAACCCCCTCTGGGGGAGGGGGGTGAGAAAAGGGGGGCTATGGGGCCAAACAGGGGATAAAATTACGTCTTGTGACGCAATTGTAAACATCTCTGAACTATTTTTAGAAAACAGACTTCTAAAAATAGCATCCTTTCCCCCTCAACACACACATATACAGCGTGCCTGTAATCTGATAGGGGAAGCAATAAAGAAAAGGCCTGGCTGTTTAAAAGGGGCTTGTTATCTCAGCAGGGAACTGGGGTTATGGGGTGGCTTGGGAGCTGCTGCTCGTGGAAGAGAATTATCGTCACTTTTGGCTCTCTAATCCCAGTGATGTGGCTGGTGATGCTGACCTGATGGCACTGAGGCCCTGGAGGAGGTGGCTCTGAAAGGCATTCTCTCAGGCAGAGAACTGAAGGATGCATGAAATCATATACTTAGCAGCTGAGTTGAGCTTTTTGGACTGTTAGAAAAAGTTTAACGGGTGCTGTCTCTGTAATCCTTATTACAGTCCTATAAAGTAGGAAAATACTTTTATCAAGTAGGGCCTACCATGCAGATGAATGAGATGGCTATAGCAGCAATAGAAGCTGTGAGGGAAATGAGATAAATATTAGAGGAATCACATGGCAGATTCGCGTTATTTCCCTGCATCCCTTAAAATGGCTTGCGATCTGCAAGTGTGGTGCTAGAAGTTCTCTCATTGTGTACATTGAAACATAGTTAAATTGCTTCTGGCCAGCTTTTGTATATAAACAGAGAAGAGTGAGGTTTTGTCCATTCCCTCAGCTATCAAAATGATTAGGACAATTATAGAGAACTGCAGACAAGTCAATGTGTTGTTGTTTTTCAATTCCACTCCCCCTCACAAAATCCAGGAGGGTTAAAAGAGAATAACAACAATCTTAAATAAACAACCAGACATGTTAAAAAGACTCACTAAAGTCATTGAGAATGATCAACTGGAGACTTGATGTATAGTGTCATGAGTATACCCATGATACTCTTTTCCACCTGAATCAGGAACATGTACTCAATAATTGCCTGGAGATGAAACCAACAACCTTAAGCTTATCCTAGATAAGATGGGAGGACTATGGATACTTGGTTTTCAAAAGCAGATATTCAGGAAGTGTCCTGTATTTTATTAAGGAATATGCCCTCCCAATTAAAGAGGTTTGGGACCAAACAGCTACTACCATACTTTATTGTACTTTATTCTACTTTATTGTGATGGCTCCAGAGATAGGAATAGAGTCTTGTAAATGTTATGCCTCCAACTCTCAGTCCATGCAGATGCTCCTTCAATATCTTGTGATCAGCAATATCAAAGGCTGTTCAGAGACTCAGAAAGACCTTCATGGTAGCACTCTTCAAATCTCTGTTCCAGCAAAAAGAGAACTATATTCAGGGAAAAGAATATTCTAGCTAATTGGCTTATTTCAAGCATGCTTGCAATTAAATGGTCAGTACTGCTGAAAGCATTTTGCCTAAGAAAGGAAGATTTGCAACTGAGTAATAATTATTCGAAGCTCCAGAGTTCAAGGACAGAGTCTGCCTCCTTCAAGCTGGTAGTCTATCTCTCTTACTGAAAAGTGCAATGCCTACTTCCTCGACCCATCCAGTTAGACCCTGTTAGATTTTAACTAGTCCCCTCTTGTCTACTTCCTGTGATGATAGCAATTGCCACTGATTTTATAAACTCTAATCGGTGGTGCCTCCATAAGTTGGAC